GACACCCAATGTGATACGTAATATGATACCACAGCGTATTGTTAAGCAATACATGCAGTACTGCTATGAAACAAATTTCAAGCCATTTAGTCCGTCGACCATCCTTCGCATTTTGTCTTGTTGTAGCGCAACGGTTAGGAAATCCTTGCAAGGACTCGATTACATTGCGGCAGAGGGAGCGAAAGGATTTGATGATTTGCACCAAATTTTGGACCGTTTAGGAGAGTACGGTCTTAGAAGGGACCTGGTGAGCCATTATCAAAAATCTCTTAAGGAAGCAAAGCATTACTTGAAGGCTGAATATAAGGTATATCAGTTGTAATCAAAGTATGTGATTTGAAAAGGCTTGCCATATTGTGAAAGCGCGAGAGCATAGGCGACAGTCAGCAGTTTTTTGAAGTGGCTGTTCACAAGATCAAACAAGACCCTGATATTAATGCACTCGCTTCTGCTTTTATGCTTTCCAATGACAATCTTTTTCGAATCAATTACTTATTACCAAGTTATAGTGCATTGTCTCAAAATATTTTTGCCATTTTTCCAGGCTCATGTTCCTGAATCTGCAACCATTGCGGATCACTGCAGTACGTATGCTTTGAGTGATAGTGAGGAGGGTCCATTTAAAAGCACGTGCAATCATTCACTTGACAAACGCTGTATGCAATGTGAGACCCTGAAGGACGTTCTAGAAAAAGTCGAAAATTATTTTGTGGAAAGCGAAGTGAGTCCAGAGGAATTGGACGATTTGACGTATTCTTGCCGACAAGCGGTAGACAGCATCAAAGGGTAGAAAGCACATCAGCTTCGAAGTTGTTGCAGGCAGGACGAGGCAAGAACATCCATTCTGAATATCCTTGATGAAAGGTCTGTTCACGTAAATCAGGATTGGGTCATGAAATTCCTCCCACAAAAATACCGAGAGTCGCAATCTGATTGGTTTGGTAAGCGGGGAATTTCGTGGCACATAAGTGTGGTTGCGCGCAAGATCAAGGAATGTTTTCAACACCAGGTATTTGTGCATGTTTTGGAGAACTGCAAGCAGGACAGCTACACTGTTGTGCGAATAACTGAACATACTTTACGGACCCTGAAACTTGAGCATCCTGAATTGACAACTGCTTTTCTACGGCAAGACAACGCCGGTTGCTACCATTCTGCTGAAATGCTGGCAAGCTGTGCTCAAATGGAATCTAAAACTGGTATCGCAGTACGAAGGGTTGACTTCAGCGATTCCCAGGGAGGGAAAGGTCCTTGCGACAGAAAGGAGGCTACTGTCAAAGCCCATGTAAGGAGATACATCAACGAAGGTCATGATGTGTTGAATGCTAATGACTTCTTGAATGCCATGCTTTCAAATGGTGGGATACCAAATGTAAGAGCGGTTATTGCTGGTGCCTATAGTACCGAAAGGGATGCTCAATTTTCACTGAAGTGGTCTGGCGTTAACTCTTTAAACAACTTTTTTTTTTTTGAGAAAACTGTCACTGTTTGGAAAGCGTACAATGTTGGCGAGGGAAAGAAGGTACCAGGTATGCAAAACAAATGGGGAAAAGTTTTTTCATTTATTCAACATATTTAACCTTAAATGTGGAGTACAAGGTTCTATGCTGCCGTCACGCTCGGCATGAAATTTTTTATAAGAAGAAGAAAAAAAAACCAGTGACAAGAAAAAACACACTAGGATAAAAAAAACTCCTTTTCTTATTGAAGTTATACTCGTGCTCCACACTCTAGTTTACCACCTATTACTTATCCTTCGCGCGAAATACCCCTAAACAACAACAACAACAACAATAAACAAAACACTGTCCATTTGCGGAGCTGAAACTTGTGTAATTGTATTTCATTTTCATTTTGGTTTTTTAGTTCCAGATTACTCACAGCCGCCCAGCTTTGAGGGCCAGTTTTCCTCAGGGGACTTCTCAGAAGTATCTCAGGCGGTCGATAAGCCAAAACCCAGTTTTCAAGAGACTGGTGAACAACATCCAGATGAGAAGGAAGAAAACCGAGACCTGAGCGCTATGTTTTCTTGTCCGCACGAGGGTTGCGTTAAGATGTATCAGCGTCACTATGCTTTGGAAAATCACTTGCTGTATGGGCAATGTGAGTTTCTACCGGTCAGAGAAAGTCTTATGGACAAGGTCAAAGTATTATACCATGATAAATTACTCTGTGAGGCGAGCAACCTGCCATCCGGCCGTGAAAGCTGAGTCAAGTCAATGCCCGGTAACAACTGAGGTTCTTCCACAAGGGTGGGCTTTAAGATCCGCTAGAAAGGCAACACGGTTTAGTGATTCCCAGCGACAGTACTTAGAGGGGAAATTTAACGTCGGGCAAGCAACAGGAGTGAAACTTGA